AATGAAACAAAACCAATCTTTTTACGGCCCACGTGCATTTGTTTGCGAGTGGCTCATAAGTACATAACTATATCTATTAATTATTATTTTCGCAGTGTATATTAAATATAATAAAAACAGTATTGGATGTGGGCTATGTGCCGTGTTAAATGAATAATTAAAAATGTTTAAGTAGAAATAAGACAATTAATAATTTATCAAAACATAACACGGATTAAATAATCACAAAAAATAATTATACAAAAATTTGTGCAACGAGGACAAGTAATAAAATATAACTACGGACAATTTAATACCGGATTGGTGTTATCGCAGCCAGCTTACAATAATACCACAGACCAAATTATTAGTCTGTGATAATACAATTTACTAACTGATAATGGTACCGCAGTGTGTCCGCCACATTGGACACATTTTCTGAACATTAAAAGTACTATATAATAAAGCAAATTAAAAACTACAATTCGATTATTTTAAATATTCTAGCATTAGTTCCTTCCAATTACAAATAATATTTTATATCTTGTGTAATGTGTTGTTATATCGTTATTGTCCTATACTGGCAATATGAAGAACAATTGTTTGTTTATACTATTAACTAGTTATACGTATTAACTGTAATTATTAACTCAAAACGATTTTAACGAAATGCGAGGAATGAGATGTTACTAACAAATAAATAGCAGCACTATCTATTTGTCCAATATTTAATTACTAATACATATTATTAATTGAATTTGTGTTTCATTTTTTGTATTGCATAAAACTAGTTAGTTAGGCTCAGTTAATCTGTGATTATGCTGATAAAAAATTATAAATAAACAAATACATTGAAAAATTAATAATAAAATTGCTTCGAAAAGTTAAAAGCATTACGTTGCTTTTTTAACCGAGCAACGCCCGGTCTCCTGGTACTTTATTATTATAATTTATACTACTGCGTCACCCGTCGATGCTAAAATAAGTTTTTAATTTATTACAAATTTTCCCAACTAGGTACAATGCCAATGTACCATCTGAACAACAGTGTTGCGAAAATATTACTATCAAATCTAGAAAAAATTTAAGCAACACTTGTGGCTATATAATATAAAATATTTCAATAAACCCTTAAGGCCCCTGGATACCGACCGTTTTTTTCAGCCAAAACACATCATTTTTTGTCCATCACACAGGCCGAACTATTGATCCGATAAGCAATCTAAAAACAGAGATGAATTTGTCATGAAGTTTACTTGAGATCGGTCAGAGCACTTTTTACAATTTTTAATTTTAATCCTTTCCAAATTTGATTTTAAAATTTTATAAAATGTTCAAACGGGTTTTATGCGTAATAGGAATAAGATATCAAAAAAGTACGCTGACTGATCTCAAGTAAACTTCATGACGAATTCAAATCTGATTTTAGATTACTTATCGGATCACTGGTTCAGCCTGTGCGATGGACAAAAAATGTACTATTATATTAAATAAAATGGCTTTTACTCATAGACAAAATTATTTAAATTAAAAATAATACCATGAAGCTCATATAAATTAACCGGTAAACTAATTAACATGGTCGAAATTTAATAAAACCACTTTTTTCTAAAATATTGCCTATACAAAACTCCTTAAAAATGTTTGGTATCCAGGGGCCTTAACCGCAAAAATAATACTCTAAAGCGTATACGTCAGCATCTTCAAAACTCTCAATCGACTGTGTATGCGCTGAAGAAGGTAACATTGCTGCCAAAATATGTATACACTTTAGAGTATTATTTTTGCGTTTAAGGGTTTATTGAAATATTTTATTTACCATCAAGACGTAGTATATAATCTTATTGATAAACTGTAACAAACTACACAATTACAATTTTTTTCATTTTTGGTAATTTACACCGACGTATCCGCACTATAGAAATCATCTCGTCTGACCGACTCGGTATGATCAAAAAATTGTACCTTGTTGGCCGGCAACAAAACTGATTGAACGCATTTGCCGTTTTCGCATCTTTGTGTGATACGATTGCAGTGATGGAAGCAGTACAATGACATCGAGGGTATGAGACACGGGGACGAGCGAGGTCGGAAAATGACTTTCATAAACGAGATTACTCAAAACGTGTGCAAGTACAGGCCGGAAGACCAAGTTTAGATGTGTCTCTAATCCTCAGGGCGTATTTCGGATGCGGTAAAACGACGTCCACGGGTCGGAGAGAAGGTTTTCAGATTTTATGTGTAGTAGTATTATCTGCGCTTTATCTGAGCACCAAAAATTACCTCTATACTTCGCTGCCAACCCCTTCGCTCGTACCGCGATATGACCGTAGCCAACGTGCTCGGTTTAATGTCGGCAATCAAGCGTTAATGAAGTTTGTCGTCCTTTCGAGACCACCGCTATGATAATGTCGGTAGACGTATTTTCTTACAGTTCCTATCCCTATGCGGTAAATGCTCCCGGGTTTTCTGATCTCTTTACATCCAACCGTCGGATATAAAAATATGCTCTCTACGTTCATGGGTTTTCTTAGTTTGACATTACCGAAACAAAACGCCTTGACGTAATGTTTATCGAATATTCTATTCTATTAGCACAATCCCTAAAAGCCTAAATGTTTTGCGAGTCAACGTTTTCTTTTAAATCAAAAAAACTATATTTCAAAAGGCGTTGGTTCAGTTCTATACATAGTAAATAAACATTTAAAATTGAAAGTCAATTGTTATGCCGTAATGTTACCATACGAATAAATAATAATAAATTAGACATAAGTTTATCAATTTAAGATAACCAAAAAAAAAAAATACTTAACTCATTGTAACTCATTCTTTTAGAACTTGACAACTTTCTCCGTTTAAAAAAGAAACGATTTTCCTGCGTTTTCAAATGCAAGCCGATCACAGTGGTTATTTTTGTACTTTTCGTGTAAACTATAATCTTGTGATAAACTGCTGGCGTTAGTTTTTTACTTTAACTGATAAGAAATGGGATTTTCGGAGTGTTCTTTATACCTATTGTCGTTTAACTTGTAAGTATTATATTGTTAGTTTCCACGCGGTAAACGTTTATTTAGGGACTCACGCTACTTCACGTTTATTATTTTCTTAACGATAATGAGTCAACAGTTAATACGGTTTTTCCGTTTCCGGGTCGGCAGGTTTAATTCGCTTTACGGGCAAAACACACGTGATTTATTATAATGCACTACTACTGTGTCGTAGAAACTCAAATTTGAAGATTTGAGTTACGGACGAAAACGCATAATGACAACACTACGACATTGCGTTGGTAAATTAGACGTGAGACTAGCGGGCTTTAATCAAAATGCAAATTTAACTCAAGAAATCACTTTGGCGGCAACCTTAAGATGAGTACGTGGTAAGAAAAACGCAATACATTATCCGCCACCAGCTTAACGACTGGCTATAGGAGATAAAATGAGTGGAAAATACCGAGAGCAGTCTTTATGTGTGCCCGTACATGTAGTGCGCGGGGGCGAGTGGGGTATAAAGCGAAACGCTGCCCGACTTCGTTGTCCGGTGAGACTCTTAAGCAAATTAATACATAATTCAAAGGAATTCGCAAAAGGTCGAGCTTTGAATAATTGAATTGGACTCGGACTATCCCGGAAAGAAAATTAGGTCGGCAACGACGTTAGTGTATTTTTGCAAGTCTGTACAGTTTATACAGTGTACAGTGTTGCATATACAACAGTACACGCATACATATGTATGTGGATTTGGTCGAAATTCCCTCTGGGAAATGCGTAAAAGCCCAAACGGCGTGTTTGTTCTACCGAGCGACATATCGGATTTAAAAGCCAAAAACAATATCGTTGTAACAATCGAGAACCTTAGGAAAACGGTAATGAAAAACTTGGAAAAGTCATATGAAATTATACGTTTTAAAGAAATTAATAATTAAATATGTTTATATAATCGTTTTCAACAATACTGTGCTTATCAACTACAACAATAGTATAACAACAAAAAAAGACAGAATTATATGTGGAAGCGATAAAATATTGTAGATATTTTCCTATCCCTAACTATGTAATACAGTAACATTATACAACAGAATACATAGTAAACGATATCTAATATAGTATTTATACTAATTAATAAAAAATTAAAACTCTATAAAATTAATTACTTAAGCGATGGCCAGAAATGCTTTGCGATTTTTTAGAGATAAAATAAAAAGAAGACATTGTAAATTATCAATAGTAAAATTATGTATTACGATGATGACAAAATGAGCCAGATTTGATCCCCAATATAGTTATGGACGATAAGTCAAACAGATATAATCCTTAAATTAAGTCTATATTAAAAAGTGTTAAAAAAAACTAGAATGGTTAAAAATAAAGAACAAATTCTTAGATTTCCGTGGAAGGGGTGGAACTTGAATAAGTATTATAAAGTCTGAGTGAAATATTGACTATTGAACACAAGTAGAAAAAGTTATAATAACAATAATACAAATATAATTAAAACATATTTTTGCGAGTAAGTTGTTACAGCTGTTATTGGTATGGTTACAGGCCTCTGTGATCACAAAAACACGCTTCGATTTCTAAACTAGTAAACTAAGGAACAAGTCTCTTTATTGTGTTATTATTTTCGTATTTTTTTGTGCTTAAATCAACTGTGCTCGTCAAAATTTAAGCGGCTCGATTTCACCACATTGCAGCCATAACGGTAATATTTGTTTACATTATTTCCAAATCAAATATGTATAAGCATCGGTTATTTGACCGGATTAGACCATTGTAAATTAATTAAACCGTATTTTAGCGCTTGTGATATATTTTATTAAATTATGTTTTTATGGGCGTTATTATTAAGTCTTAATTAGCTTAAAAAGCATTATTTGGCTGCATCGTCTCGTGTAACTTTGTTAAATCCCACGTGAATGTTTGTGGACTTAGCTACGGTATTGCAGAGCGGTTTTGGTTTTTTTTTTTAAATACATTTAACGGTCTGTTAACTGTTATTGAATTTTTGTTTTCGTAGACACAATGGGTCGATCCAGGCAATCTGCGTGCACGTGTCCGCACTGCCATCAAAATAACACCAAAGACGACGCGAATTTCTCGAGCAACTTGGCCGGTGGCGTGGGCAAGATGATGGACAGCCTGATGGAGCAGACGAAGTCGACGTACTGCTACGTGACGTCCGCCATTTTGGTAGTCGGCATACTGTTTTTGGTCGCGTACCTCATGTATCTGGTGGTCGAGTACAAGTGCTTGTTACGGTGGAACGACGACCGCTCGATGTCAGCCATCAGGTATGTGGAACCGGTCGAAGTGTTCAACGTCGTGCCCCAAGACTTCTGCACGGTCATCTCCAAAGAGCTGTACGCGCTGGAACAGATTGGCTACGTGGACCCGGACCGGCGGGTGTCCAAGCTGATGGCACTCGACGTGCGCACTACCGACGTGCACTACGTGTTCATGAACGACACCCAGATGCCTTGGCTGTCCATGTGCTCGTTGGAGTCCGCGCTGGGCGCCATCGGGGACAGGGGCAGGGTTAACGTATTTTTGGTGTACGGGGCCGTGGCCAAGGCCGATCACGATCGCCACAAACGAAAGTTGGTCAGTACGAATACTATATAACTCGGTTAAACAACTATGATAACAACACGGCTACGTCCGATGTCGTCCGCCAAAATTACTTTATAAGATCCAACACCCGATTAGTGTTTAAAAGTATAATTACTAATTTTGGTCGAAAAGTAATTCTCGTCGTAAACTTAAAAGGGGTTTCCGCCAATTTTATTATTGCAGGTACAGTTGTCGGCCAGTCTGGAAAAACTGACGACGACGTACGGCGAACGGTTGAACGTGTTAAACATTGACTTGGACGATTGCCTGGACTGTTCACCGTTCCGTGGTATGAAATTGGTCAATAATACCGCCTTGGCCAAGTTTGCCGTCGAGCTGGTGTTGTTGTGGCAGTTCGGTGGCACCGTACTGGACGCCGGCTTGGTGGTCGTCCGCGGTGACGTATACCGGGCGTCCGGCACGGCCGTCGAGTACGGCGACCGAGAGATCAGCTCGCCGGCCGCCTGTAAAGAGTTCATTTACAACGCAATGCTGTGCACCATAAATTTCGTGAACCACGTCAGAAAACCGTTCGACGCACACGCATGCAGGAAGATAGTGGACAAGACGGTCGAGCGATTCCGGTACTCCGCCAAAGACGCCCAACCGCTTAACGAACAGGTAGTCTGCAAGAACGGCGTAGTGGCCGACTATTGTTATTACGTGGAAGCTGACCGCCTCGTGCATTCCGATAAGTCATATATGCACGGTTTCTGCCCCGTTATGAGCAACGTGTCGTTACCGTGGCTCCATAAAATGATCCTTAAGGACTCGACCGCGAACTAAACCCAAAACAAAGAAAGTAGATACATTAGGCTAGTCACTAGCTTTTGTCTTTGTTTTTTTTTTAATTCTTGAACATTATAATTTAACATTTTTTTTTTTTTTGTCAATAAGTACTAAAATTTAGATAATATATACATTTTATATTCGCGCATATTTTCGACTATTGAGGTTCGCAAAATATATAATTATTTTACACCGAGCTTATAATATGTACTAGTTTATAAATATTATAATTGCCTTTAAAAAAATGTCCAAGTACAAGTTTATAACACCAAATTCCAATATCCAAATATATGTATATAATCACACGACAGTATTATATATACTTTATATACATTTAGATATATATATTATGTATATTATAAGTAAACAATATTATTCACAACGGTAGTGTAATAAAACTTTCTTAGGTGTGACGAATGCAATGTGTCAGAATTCGTTTATCGATATCCATAAGTTCATAGCTATCACGATAAATATATTTTTTCAAAATGTTTACATACTATTAAAAATTAAAATTTTCTACAGCACACAAGTTATAATATTTGTAATGTTAATAAACTTAAATTATTTATGATATGCAAATGCAAACATACTAGCGAACAAAGATGAAAAATGCATATAGTTTCATATTTTTGTTTGGTTTAATCGAAAAATACTTTGAACTTGTTTTGTAAGACTAAACAACACATGCATATTTATGTTTCTAGCTAACTGGATTGCCGGGAAGTTCAGAATTTAAGTATTTACTTACTCGACCTAAACTAATAGAAGTACAAGTTTATGAGTTTAAGCAATATAAAAGTTCTGTTTACTCATAATTGATAAATACAAACAATCGTTAGTAAACACATAACATTGTAGTTGAATCGACTAATAAAAATTTGCTATAAATATAATAATAATTATTATTATTTGTTAAATAGTTGAATTCATATTTTTTATTACGTTATAATCCAACGATAATAATAATAAAAATAATGATTAGAAGTTTAACTGAAAATAAAGGTAATGAATGTTTTTTTTTTTTTTGGTACATTGCTACAATTTTTCCATACAACAATAAATTTTTTTGTAATTAGTTTTGTTTATTGTTTTTTTTTTTTGTGACGGTGAAATACCAAATAATTAAAATACCATTTAATTGACAGGCACGTTAAACTAATACTATAATAAAGTGCATCCATCAGTCACATTGGAATAAAATAACTATATTGTGTTATGTATTCTGTTAATGTAAAGTATATTGAGTGTATTTTATGACATAAACAACGTTGCACGTTCACCTCGAAGACGTTAACCATTTGGAAGCGAAACCGTCTAGGAAAGCGTTCACGATATAAGGATAGCAAGGCAATAGACAAAAACACATTACTAGAGACCGTTTGTAACTTTTATTCTACCACTTCTCATAATGTTGTAAATGTCACAAAACTACGGTAAGTAAGAATAAGTATAGTATTATTTTTCCCGTTATGACCCTCGCCAGGATATTGCGCAGTAACATAAAACTGTATATATATATATATATATATGGTACAAAACTTTTTGCCTGGAATTAGAGACCAATATTGATATTGGCAATACATCACCCGGTATACTTTCATATATATTGTAGTACTGTTATTGCTATCGTGGCGCATTTTTGCTTTGTAACGTTAAACTAAAAGTATATGATTTCAGAAACCATTTCAACATTCTGCTAGATTATCAACTGTGTTTGTTTATATTTTAGTAGAATAGCATTGACCAATGAATAATCATAATTGGGCACTTGAAACAAGCGCGCTATACAAGTCCACTTATATTAAGTTCTCTCGCTGCCCGTTGCGGTATATTATATAAAGGCCTGGTATTTCATGATGCATTAATCCGACCTATCTACTCATTAGACGGCGCGGCATGCTTCAATACCTGTAGTGGTTGTAATTAACTTACAACTTGTTAACCACTGCAATAGCTAAGTATACAATTCCGGATTTTAGAGTAATAACAATAATGGAACTTGTTTACAACGTCCGGTACGGTTCTTTTCATGCGAGTAATTTAGTAGTCCAGTTTCATGGAATTTTTATAATTATAAAAAAAAATATTATCTTATACAAATTCTTTTACAGCTTCCATGATACCCTTTTAATATCCCCAAGCAAATATTTTTCAGCAAACTGACCCTTTGGGGTTTATTTTTTATTTACCGCATTCGGATATAATATTTTACATCCTTTTTTTAATAACCGCTTTCAAATTCACCGAAACTATTTCTTTAATTTTTTTTTTTTTTTTTTGGCAACAATTTCACATCATTGGAGTGAATAAATCTTTGTAGGAAAAAAAAGATTCATGTTATATTTATTTAAAACAGTATACCTACATGCCATTAAATGTTTTTAAAACCATTTTTACCTCGGGTGGGTGGGTTGGAATTATTTACGGTTTGTTTCTGGCGATCGACCGAGACGATACAAAGGGAGTAAGAGTGAAATAGCTTTCGTTACACTGTATAACGTAGGCGTAAATATCCAACACCACAAAAATAAGTGATATAGAAAGCTGGTAGGTTTACCTACTAAATACTTTCACAGTATGATAAGAGTCAGCATATAAGGTGTGAATCGTATTACACGGTTACCGCGATACGGATAACAAGCCATCACAACCACACGTTAAATTTCTCAAGTAACAAAGTAAGAAGGGTTCCTATACCACAGACGAGTGGAATAATAATGCTGCAGATTGAAGAACTATCATCGTTCTATATTCAAAACCACGTCTTACAAAGATAATTAAACACCTTTATTTGAAAACAAATTATGATATAAAGATTAGAGCTTAACATCAATCTGACTTGTAATTTAAACTTAAATACCCGATGTCGCGTCTAAACGAATTTTTAAAATTATCGTAACTAGATGTGTTTTAGCAAATGTATATAATTTTTTCTATGTATAACACTTCAATAAAATAAAAATTCGATGAATATTTTTCTGTTAATGTCGTGAAAAAATAATACAAATCTGGTTATGAAAGTAATACACATTTCTAAATAGTGTAACAAAATACCTCCAAAATTCACCCACGTCTAATATATTGTCTATTGTATAAAATTACGGCTACCAGTCCCTTAAAAAAACAACATTGTTTTCGATACACGTTTGAATGTTTCTCGACAGCGTTGTAGCTATTTTGCATATCTATAACGCCTCGTTACACCTGTACAAGTAGGATTAATTATTTTTTATAACCTTCTTTAGTTGTGCTTTATGCTTTTTTCATTATAGGAATTTATTTTCACTAAATATTTAACAGGAATTATGTAGGTGAACTTGTAGTTGTGATGTTGTAGCAGACTACAGCTTAAAAAAAATTACATTTTTAATTTATAATATAATAAACATGTTTTAAAATATTATGTATAATATAATATTGTAAAATGTTTCATGTCCTATAGGATTTTAATCCTCGGAAGCTTTTATTCGATTTGCTTGGTAATATATTGTTCGTTTATGTTTCTAGTAAAATATGTCCTGGTATTATCTTGTGATAACGCTTTAAGGCGTTGAATAAAAATATTATAATATCATATTTCTGTTTCCATCGCAAGTATCTCTTATTGTAAAATATATTCAATACGTCTATCGGTCATCTACTTAAGACTGAAGTCCGGTTTTTGTCGGGTTAAACCTTTATTGAAAATCAATAGACTAAACTGACATAGCTGTAAGGCGCAACGTTGATCGTGTATCCCTGAAGTGACGCGTTCATTGCAGACAAGGACATAACAACAACACGTAATGTGTACGTTTTCGTTGGTATGTAAAATGTTCACAGCAAAAGTTCAAACTGCGTTCAAGACGTGTTGCTTATTTTTGGGCGAAAACAGAGGTAGGTACATAATTTCAACATTCGGGTAAATAATTAATACGGGGTTCGTACAGTCGTTTGCCTTCGCCCGAAAGGAACCGAGTGTAATTTGATTTCCGTCTTTGGCCTGTTGCGCGTGTTAAAGCGCGGTATTATGTTAAGTGTGCACTCTTGTATGCATGTGTATGTTTATACATACTTAATTTAAAGTTGCTTGGGCGTTCCGACACGTAGGTAGACGCGTATGTTGAACAAATCGTCGCAAACCTTAAGGTGGTTTTTAAATAATTAAATTCCACTCCTGAAACTGGCAGGAGTGTTTGCCATCTGATGTGTTCAACAACGTTGATGTGGTTTAATTGCGCGCTCTGATTAAAAATATACAGGAGAGTGTAATCCAATTATATATATTTAACCCCTCGCATGAGCTACAATATGCGCTTGCATGTAGCACGTTGGAATTTCGAAGGGTGTGATATTATAATATTGCGTTAAGATGGTGTGCCAGAAAGGAGAGTCGTACGATTTACGTATGATATTATTATTACCTTCCAACTCAAATACCACATTTTTTACTCGTTTGGTACATTCTTGATCTGTGTTCAGGATAGTTTTACAATAAAACATATAAAAGTCGATTCCAAAATTATTAATGCAAAAATAAAATTGTCGCACTTTTGAAGGGAAGTATTTTACATATATTATTGAAATTTGAAAAATCAAGTTATTTTTTTATAAGAATTTTTTAAGTGTTAGTTTGAAAACTAAAAAAACCTTTTCATTTAAAGGATTGGTTTTCTCTTTTGAAAAAAAATGAGACCGATTTTTAGAATTTTGACCCGATGAAAGAAATTATGTATTAGGAAATATCTGTGGATACAAGGTCCAGAAGTTAAAAATGTCATAATTAAAAAACATGTAAAATAGAGAAAATGAGCATTGTATGTTGGTTACTGTTTAGTGTCGAATCAAAGTTAAAACTGAATGTTATGTAACAATTTTGTATCTGTGTTAATTGTAAAAATATTTTGTACTCTTTTTGCATCCAATGGTTATTGATATAAATATGCTATGAAGGATAATATGATTTAAATGTGTCTCATAGTATACTCAAAAGCAATTTGATTTTGGTTTCATCC